CCTGTGTTCCGATGTGTTGCCTGTGTCTGAGGGTGTTGCCTGTGTTCCGAGTGTGTTGCCTGTGTCCGAGTGTGTGCCTGTTTCCGAGTGTGTTGCCGTGTTCCGAGTGTGTTCGCTGTTTGTGTCGGTGTGTTGCCTGTGTTTTCCCGAGTGCGTTGCCTGTTTTCCCGAGTGTTGTTGCCTGTGTTCCGAGTGTGTTGCCTGTGTTCCGAGTGTGTTGCCTGTGTCTGAGTGTGCTGCAGTGTTTGTGTGTCTTGCTGTGTTCTGAGTGTGTTTCCTGTGTTCTGAGTGTAATTCCTTGATGTACTGAGTGTGTTGCCTGTGTTTGGAGTGTGTTTGCTGTGGTTTCCGGTTTTTGTTGCCTGTGTTCTGAGTGTGTTGCCTGTGTTCCGAGTGTGTTGCCTGTGTTCCGAGTGTGTTGCCTGTGTTCCGAGTGTGTTGCCTGTGTTCCGAGTGTGTTCCCTGTGTTCGTGGTGTTCCCTGTTGTTCGTGTGCGTTGCCTGGTTCGAGTTTTGTTGCCTGTGTTCCGAGTGTGTTGCCTGTGTTCTGTAGTGTGTTGCCTGTGTTCTGAGTTTTGTTGCCTGTGTTCTGGTGTGTTGCCTGTGATCCGAGTGTGTTGCCTGTGATCCGAGTGTGTTGCCTGTGTTCCGAGTGTGTTGCCTGTGTTCCGAGTGTGTTGCCTGTGTTCCGAGTGTGTTGCCTGTGATCCGAGTGTGTTGCCTGTGTTCCAGGTGTTGCCTGGGTTCCCGGGAGTGTGTTGCCTGTGATCCGAGTGTGTTACCTGTGTTCCGAGTTTGTTGCCTGTGTTCCGAGTGTGTTGCCTGTGTTCCGAGTGTGTTGCCTGTGTTCCGAGTGTGTTGCCTGTGTTCCGAGTGTGTTGCCTGTGTTCCGAGTGTGTTGCCTGTGTTCCGAGTGTGTTGCCTGTGTTCCGAGTGTGTTGCCTGTGTTCCGAGTGTGTTGCCTGTGATCCGAGTGTGTTGCCTGTGATCCGAGTGTGTTGCCTGTGTTCCGAGTGTGTTGCCTGTGATCCGAGTGTGTTGCCTGTGTTCCGAGTGTGTTGCCTGTGTTCCGAGTGTGTTGCCTGTGATCCGAGTGTGTTGCCTGTGATCCGAGTGTGTTGCTTGTGTTCTGTTACATGTTACAGTTTTCTAAGTGCCTTATGCCAGCCTGAGAATTAATTTAATGTTTTGACGATATGTAGTGAACAGTAAAAGGTCTATACAATATTAACATACCATAATCTTTGGGGTCTGTAAAAGGCTCAAAGTGTATTGACTAAATCTCGAGTTTGTGATGGCTCTGAGAGCTTTCTTTGATTGTGCAAAAATTGGTTTGAGGTGCCTAACCCCAGACACAAATTCAGTAGGCGAGGTATAGATAAATGTGCAAACAGCGTTATTTTTATAGACCGGGGAATATTATAACGAATTTTGGCGATTATATTCACAGCTTTTTTATCTCTCTCTCTCTCTGAGCTGGACATATACCTAAAATTTAAATTTATTATTCATAAGTAGATCTAAGAGATGACCTTCAACATATTTCTCAACTTCGGGTTCATTTATTTTGATGTTTAATTATGATTCTGGTTTACTGTTATAAATTAACCACTCGGCCAGTTCTCGGGCCGAGTGGTTAACACACTGGCCAGTGTCTTACGACTCACCATACCTGAAGTATACCTGTAGAGGGTTTCGGGGGTTAACGCCCCCCTGGGGCGTTAACCCCAGGCCTCATGGTGGATCAGGGCCTGATCAACCAGGCTGTTACTGCTGGATGCACGCAAACTGACGTACGAACCACAGCCCGGTTGGTCAGGTACTAACTTCAGGTGCCTGTCCAGTGCCAGCTTGAAGACTGCCAGGGGTCTATTGGTAATCCCCCTTATGTATGCTGGGAGGCAGTTGAACAGTCTTGGGCCCCTGACACTTATTGTGTTGTCTCTTAACGTGCTAGTGACACCCCTGCTTTTCATTGTGGGCATGTTACATCGTCTGCCAAGTCTTTTGCTTTCATAGGGAGTGATTTTCGTGTGCAAGTTCGGTACTAGTCCCTGTAGGATTTTCCAGGTGTATATAATCATGTATATCTCCCGCCTGCGTTCCAGGGAATACAGGTTCAGGAGCCTCAACCGCTCCCAGTAATTGAGGTGTTTTATCTCCGTTATGCGCGCCGTGAAAGTTCTCTGTACATTTTCTAGGTCAGCAATTTCACCTGCCTTGAAAGGTGCTGTTAGTGTGCAGCAATATTCCAGCCTAGATAGAACAAGTGACCTGAAGAGTGTCATCATGGGCTTGGCCTCCCTAGTTTTGAAGGTTCTCACTATCCATCCTGTCATTTTTCTAGCAGATGCGATTGATACAATGTTATGGTCCTTGAAGGTGAGATCCTCCGACAGGATCACTCCCATCGTGTTATGATTTCGTAAGAAATGAAAGCCACACCTCCGGTCGTTGTGGATTATCTCACCTCAGCTACAGAACAATGGATTGACGGTGATCCCATTACAGGTCAAACAACCTCAGCTTACTTACCTACTGCCACTTCTCCAAGGAACCAGTAACCTCGTCATCTAAGCATCTCATTATAACCAGCGTCAGGACATTATGGATGTTACATATAGACTAAGTCGAAAAACTGTGAGGCAAACACGCAAGAACAGAGTAAACGTTCTATTTAGTGACGTTTTACGGGCTGTAGGGCTTTGTTAAGTACTTGACGGGGGAGCCTGACTGTAGCTGGTCAGTTTGTTAAAGGTCAAAAGACTGAAAGAAACCAATGAGTTTGTGTACAGCAATAAAAAGAGTTGACATATATAGCCATGGATGACCAGTACGGCAGTGACGTACGTACATACCGATGTGACGTTCCACTGTGCACTGTGACGATTGTATTTACATTAGATAACGTTGTTTTATAGCCGTGTAGATGTTTGAGTGTGTGGAAGGCGAGTTTTAAACGACCTGTATATATGACTGAGAGATTGACAGGTGATGGAGCCTGGTAGGTGGGTTAACACCACCTATGTAGATGGGTTAACACCATCTATGTAGATGGGTTAGCACCGCCTGTGTAGATGGGTTAGCACCGCCTATGTAGATGGGTTAGCACCGCCTATGTAGATGGGTTAGCACCATCTATGTAGATGGGTTAGCACCACCTATGTAGATGGGTTAGAACCACTTATGTAGATGGGTTAACACTACCTATGTAGATGGGTTAGCACCACCTATGTAGATGGGTTAGAACCACTTATGTAGATGGGTTAGCACCATCTATGTAGATGGGTTAGCACCACCTATGTAGATGAGTTAGCACCACCTATGTAGATGGGTTAGCACCACCTATGTAGATGAGTTAGCACCACCTATGTAGATGAGTTAGCACCACCTATGTAGATGGGTTAGCACCACCTATATAGATGGGTTAGCACCACCTATATAGATGGGTTAGCACCACCTATGCAGATGGGTTAGCACCACCTATGTAGATGGGTTAGCACCACCTATGTAGATGAGTTAGCACCACCTATGTAGATGAGTTAGCACCACCTATGTAGATGAGTTAGCACCACCTATGTAGATGGGCTAGCACCACCTATGTAGATGGGTTAGCACCACCTATGCAGATGGGTTAGCACCACCTATGTAGATAGTTAAGTCCCTGACAGGTGGGTTTCAGTCCCACATGTATAGATGGTTAAGACTCTTGACAGAAGATTAAGGACCAGCTGCAGGAACGTACCAACACTAAACCATGATGGATGTCAATATACGAGCTGCCTCATTTTTATCCAAACTTCCTTTAATTTTAACTAATAATTTATATTTTTGCAGCCTTTCCTGCTTCAACATTTCCGTCTCCGTTTACTATAGTTTATCCTCTCCATGGAAACAATATTGATTTACTAAACACTTAACAGTTTCTCATGATTACTCAATACATGTGTTAGTAACATCTGAAAATACTTAGGCGGATTTAATTAGGCTCTAGCATAGAAAACTGGGTGACAAAAACCATAATTTTCCCTGTATAACTTATCCTGGTCCTCCACTGCTGGGATTTGGAGCATAAATATATATAAGGCGGAAACCTCACAAATGCATGCATACTAACTGTAGCATTCGACATGGTAAGACATTAACTATTGTATTTACTATCCCACAGTTCATGTTTACTAACAAGACAGCAGCAAACATACACTAAGTAGAGGACCCATAAAGATCACAATATAACCCCATCTATTGGTAATAATCATAACCTTATTTTTCAGAAAGGTGGAGCGGTGAGCTAGGCTGAAGACTTTGGTTAAGTGACCAAAAGCTCCAGTGGTGGGTCACCACATAACTCAGACCCGCGTCAGGAAGAAAGTGTCCTGTTTCCTAAGATATTACAAGAACGTAACTGGCTATCATATGATAACAGCCCATGTCGAGAAACATTTGTCCTGTTTCCAAATGAATCAAAGAACACGGCAGAAGACAGACAAAATACAGTTTTGCAATACCTCATGTACATGTACACTCAAAAATACACAACAGCTATTACTTTCATTAATTGCTAATTCTACAGTGGTCATACAGTGTCTGGGGAATGTGAGGCCATCATGTTTGATCTAAAAAAACAAGGAGAGTAGCTCCAATATCTTAAATCAAAAGCCCTCCACTTGCCTCATGAGACGCTCCTAGAAAGGCGAAATTATGGACTGAATAAAATCTATGCAAAGAGAACTGCACTTCAAAACTCTTTACGTACATCGGATTATAGTACGTATGTCTCCTGCATTATGAAGATTATAGTGAGTCCCCAAGTTTATGATAATTATAAGGATTCTCCCGGATTATGATGATTATAGTGAGTCCCAGATTATTATAGTGAGTCCCCAGATTATGAAGATTATAGTGAGTCCCCAGATTATGAAGATTATAGTGAGTCCCCCAGATTATGAAGATCATAGTGAGTCCCCCAGATTATGAAGATTATAGTGAGTCCCCCAGATTATGAAGATCATAGTGAGTCCCCCAGATTATGAAGATTATAGTGAGTCCCCAGATTATGAAGATTATCGCGAGTCCCCCAGATTAAGAATAGGTATGATTCATTATGAGACACTGAATGGTTTGTTGAGGTCGCCCTCGTTACTTCCACATAAATAATTAAGACTTGTTGCCACAATCGGAGGGAACACATTTGATAAAGGTAGCAGCTGGTAAGATAACAGAGATATGTAACACTTAAAAAATTCGGGTCATAACAGAACTTTCTACTTACAGAAACCAGCGGTGGGCTTCCTTCTTCTTCTTATTGTCGTCACTTCTGCACAAGAAGACGCTGAAGGTAATATGTAGACCTGTGAATAAGCCAGTGGAAATTATTATAGATAGCAGAAATTGTTATAAGATAATTTTTAAAGGGGTGGACCGGTAAGCCAGTGGAAAGCCTTGGTCAGATGACCTCAAAATTCCAGCTGCGGGTCATCGTGTAAGGTCCGCGTCAGAAAACGCTTGTTCTGTTTCCTGACAGACCTCACTTAAGGGAGGAAGGGTAGAAAACTGGCGAACCAGGTGTTGGGTAATAGGAAGGGTAGAAAACACAAGTGGCCCATCCACTATAAGGTAAAGAGTCTCAACGACTCCTGGAACCCCGTAGCCTGGACTTGAGCCTCAGGCTACCTTGCGTATTTGTGACTAACATCACTAGTACAACACTTCTCTCTTAATATGCTTGCTAAGAATTAAGTTTCCATGAGTTAACACTAAGGCACAATAACGGATTTAACATTTCTGTAATCGTCGTTACTAGGCAGAAATTAGAACAACCAGAATTCAGAAAACATAGACACGTCTCTCTTGTTCAGTTCGTGTAATATACGAGGCTTTGTCCTATTGTAAATATTAACAAGATATACACACAATGAAGTGTGTGTGTGTATATATATATATATATATATATATATATATATATATATATATATATATATATATATATATATATATATATATATATAGTGAGTTTACTCTGATCCCTACTTTAGAGAATTAAAAGTTCTTGACTGGTGGTGTACAGGTGACATACTGCCTTAATTACCCTCATAAATATATAATATATACAGCGAGAGGTGTATATCTCCATTATATATATACACCGAGAGGTGTATATCTCCCACTATATATACACCGAGAGGTGTATATCTCCCACTATATATACACCGAGAGGTGTATATCTCCCACTATATATACACCGAGAGGTGTATATCTCCCACTATATATACACCGAGAGGTGTATATCTCCCACTATATATACACCGAGAGGTGTATATCTCCCACTATATATACACCGAGAGGTGTATATCTCCCACTATATATACACCGAGAGGTGTATATCTCCCACTATATATACACCGAGAGGTGTATATCTCCCACTATATATAAGCTTAGTTTACTTTCATTCCAGTTTTTTCATCTTCTGTTGTTCATGTTTTCAACTCTTGACTCATACACCTAGATAATACACCATTGTCTTGACTCATACACCTAGATAATACACCATTGTCTTGACTCATACACCTAGATAATACACCATTGTCTTGACTCATACACCTAGATAATACACCATTGTCTTTAATCCAAGTACAAACAGATAATTCTTCTCAGCAGATATCCAAGGTGTGGACTCCCTAGTTTCCTGCTATATACATCTGGGAGATTTTCTTATCCAATGACTGCCACTTTTATATCTTTTACTAATATCTGCATTAATGTATTCTTGGCTGGTGAACAGTCACATGGAGCCTTAATTACCCTCGTATAGCAGATAGGTTTTAAACCCAATTAACCAGCTAATGAATATAAGTTGATTCCACAAATATGTCAACTTTGGTCTCCTAGTTTAAGTTCGGAATTAAGTTTTTTTTTACATCAACTAAGATATAATACTGCCTTTATTGCACTTAACTTATGAGCTTTAGTTTAATATGTTTATTATGCACCACATACCCATCCTGTGGGCGGTAGTCACCACATACCCATCCTGTGGCGGTAGTCACCACATACCCATCCTGTGGGCGGTAGTCACCACATACCCATCCTGTGGGCGGTAGTCACCACATACCCATCCTGTGGGCGGTAGTCACCACATACCCATCCTGTGGGCGGTAGTCACCACATACCCATCCTGTGGACGGTAGTCACCCCATACCCATCCTGTGGGCGGTAGTCACCACATACCCATCCTGTGGACGGTAGTCACCACATACCCATCCTGTGGGCGGTAGTCACCACATACCCATCCTGTGGGCGGTAGTCACCACATACCCATCCTGTGGACGGTAGTCACCCCATACCCATCCTGTGGGCGGTAGTCACCACATACCCATCCTGTGGACGGTAGTCACCACATACCCATCCTGTGGACGGTAGTCACCACATACCCATCCTGTGGACGGTAGTCACCACATACCCATCCTGTGGGCGGTAGTCACCACATACCCATCCTGTGGGCGGTAGTCACCACATACCCATCCTGTGGGCGGTAGTCACCACATACCCATCCTGTGGGCGGTAGTCACCACATACCCATCCTGTGGGCGGTAGTCACCACATACCCCATCCTGTGGGCGGTAGTCATCCACATACCCATCCTGTGGACGGTAGTCACCACATACCCATCCTGTGGGCGGTAGTCACCACATACCCATCCTGTGGGCGGTAGTCACCACATACCCATCCTGTGGACGGTAGTCACCCCATACCCATCCTGTGGGCGGTAGTCACCACATACCCCATCCTGTGGACGGTAGTCACCACATACCCATCCTGTGGACGGTAGTCACCACATACCCATCCTGTGGGCGGTAGTCACCACATACCCATCCTGTGGGCGGTAGTCACCACATACCCATCCTGTGGGCGGTAGTCACCACATACCCATCCTGTGGGCGGTAGTCACCACATACCCATCCTGTGGGCGGTAGTCACCACATACCCATCCTGTGAGCGGTAGTCACCACATACCCATCCTGTGGGCGGTAGTCACCACATACCCATCCTGTGGGCGGTAGTCACCACATACCCATCCTGTGGGCGGTAGTCACCACATACCCATCCTGTGGGCGGTAGTCACCACATACCCATCCTGTGGGTGGTAGTCACCACATACCCATCCTGTGGACGGTAGTCACCCCATACCCATCCTGTGGACGGTAGTCACCCCATACCCATCCTGTGGACGGTAGTCACCACATACCCATCCTGTGGACGGTAGTTAAAAGATTACAGAGGTACATAATGGGTCCAGGGACTGTACCTCAACATTACAGAGGTACATAATGGGTCCAGGGACTGTACCTCAACATTACAGAGGTACATAATGGGTCCAGGGACTGTACCTCAACATTACAGAGGTACATAATGGGTCCAGGGACTGTACCTCAACATTACAGAGGTACATAATGGGTCCAGGGACTGTACCTCAACATTACAGAGGTACATAATGGGTCCAGGGACTGTACCTCAACATTACAGAGGTACATAATGGGTCCAGGGACTGTACCTCAACATTACAGAGGTACATAATGGGTCCCAGGGACTGTACCTCAACATTACAGAGGTACATAATGGGTCCAGGGACTGTACCTCAACATTACAGAGGTACATAATGGGTCCAGGGACTGTACCTCAACATTACAGAGGTACATAATGGGTCCAGGGACTGGATCCTAAAGTTTTGACAGCAGAACAAGTTATGAGAGTCATTTTTTCAGATGGACAAAAGGGCAAGTTCTTCATCAAGTCTTATTCAACCACCACCTGGACGTTCCTGTCTTCGTTCGTATCAACTGTCCCCTACACCTGCTACAAAAGTAAGTCATCATTAAAAGTAGTATATGTAGTGCAAATGTTCTAAAGATACGCAACTAAATGTTCTAAAGATACGCAACTAAATGTTCTAAAGATACGCAACTTACAAGTTATACTCGTCACTTTGAGGCGAAGTAGTTAGACCACTTATCTTCCTATGCACCTGCAGTTGTTTCTTACCTATTTTCTGATTCTTTTGACATACTGTCACTCTTAAATATAAACTTTAATATTTCTTCTCCATCGTTGTTGTTGTATTTCGTAAGTTGGTGTATGAGCGTTTAGTAATGTTTTGAAAGAACATAAATTGTTCGACCTCTCTAAATTACTGGGTAACTTAAATCAGTCCCATCTAAAACACTCAAGGTACGGGACACTGACATCAAAAATAAATCCCGTCAGTTTGGGCATCACCTTGCTATTTACTAATGTCGTCACTACGACATTAGTAGCTGGAGGGGTAAGCCAGTGGAAGGCTTCGGTCAGATGACCAAAAGTTCCAGCTGTGGGTCATCATATAAATAAGACCCGCGTCAGGAAACACTTGTCCTGTTTCCTAACAGATCTAAACCTAACCTAACCTAACTGGGCTAGACAATACCGGTACACAACACGGACCTTTTCATCTCCCTTCCTACCGATACGAACATTTTTTTTTTAACCTAGGGGTATTATGTGGCAACTTTGAACTTAATGGAATTGAAGATTGAGACATATGGGAATCTTTATTCAGGAAACGTTTCGCCACACAGTGGCTTCATCAGTCCAATACAAAGCAGAAGGTGTAAGGAGAGGAGGAGTTTGAGGTAATCAGTCCCTCAGCCTGGAGTCGATGTGTTCAGTCCATCAATCTACAAGACTGATGGACTTTGTATTGGACTGATGAAGCCACTGTGTGGCGAAACGTTTCCTGAATAAAGATTCCCATATGCTGCATAAGTGTCTCAATCTTCAACTTGTCGGTTTTTCAAACCATTCATCACAACTGTCAGACACTGCAGCATCATGGGAACTTAATGGTATTATATATAACGTTTTGTTTTATCTATGATTGTTTGACAGCTGCGGCAGTTGCGGCAAATACTAAAGCTTGTTCGGGCCGTCGGCTACTTCGCGCTAGAAGGTCGAACGTGAATGAAGGAACAGACAGCACTGAGCTCCTTAGCAGCATCAGAAACGACAACGCGGACCTTCTTGCTAACATTGCAGAGGATGGCTTGGCTGCAAGTGACAGTGATTCTGAACGTGAGAAGTTTTTTTTCACCGTGTGGAGGACATCGAGCAGCACAGCCACCATCACCACGTACTCCACGAACCGTTCAGTCACCGTCAGTGCATCAGTCATGTGTACCTACCCAGGTGTTACTCTTAACCTGTGCTAACCATATATATTCTGATTAGTATATCTTTCTTGATGTGTGTGCACTGAGAGTGTATGTACACGTGGAGGGATATATAATACAGTATATATACACTTTAATACCCATATGACAACTTTTTATGTAAATATTGTATATACATAGCTGACCCTTATTAAAAGTATCAACTTAAATATTTATCAGCTTATCAAACCTAACAAACAACAATGTTAAAAACTGATGTCCGGTCTAAATAACTGGAAAAAATCTCAAAAACAATATTATATTAAATATTTACATTTTCAGACCAACAGAAGTCTATATATCTAATTTATTAATCAGCTATTATACTCAGTTAATTACGAAAAATTTTGTGCGAAATCATAAGTTGTGTCCAATGATACAGCGTTATATGACCTTTATGGGTTTAGCCCCTTAAAATTATGATTATAATAACGGTGTAAACGGTGATATATGGGGGTATACGAGAGAATATAATATATGAGAGATTTAATATAGGCTATTGGGATCCCACGAGGATCAGTATGTGTGTGAATGATGCAGGGTCTTCAGGGCACTCGTGATACATGCATGGTTGGGGTGGACCAGGAAGCCAGTGGAAGGTCTTGGTCAGATGACCAGAACCTCCAGTGGCGGGTCACTGTATACCTGGAGTTTACCTGGAGAAGGTTTCGGGGAGTCAACGCCCCCGCGGCCCGGTCTGAGACCAGGCCTCATGGTGAATCAGGGTCTGATCAACCAGGCTGTTACTGCTGGCCGCACGCAACCTGACGTACGAACCACAGCCCGGTTGATCAGGTACTGACCCTAACCTAAACAAGTTACCAGCATGGAAAGCAATGTTTTAATATGTGTAATTTATTCCAAAAAAACCTACCGGGGCGTACACAAGTCAAAATTAATATAAAGTTTTCTCTAAGTATTTAACAGAAACTATTTTAATCTGTAAAACTGGGTCGTGATAATCTACACGTACTACACCAGGACAATGTTTCCTCTGAGGAAAATATCAACAGTAGAAGTTTGAAGCCGACCAGATGATGCATTTGACAGTTATAACACAAAATACAACAAAATTTGTACCATTATTATTATTATTATTATTATTATTATTATTATTATTATTATTATTATTATTATTATTATTATTAATAGTAGTAGTAGTAGCAGTAGTAGTAGTAGTAGTAGTAGTAGTAGTAGTAGTAGTGACAGTAGTAGTAGTAGTAGTAGTGACAGTAGTAGTAGTAGTAGTAGTAGTAGTAATAATAGTAGTAGTGACAGTAGTAGTAGTAGTAGTAGTAGTAGTAGCAGTAGTAGTAATAATAGTAGTAGTGACAGTAGTAGTAGTAGTAGCAGTAGTAGTAATAATAGTAGTAGTGACAGTAGTAGTAGTAGTAGTAGCAGTAGTAGTAATAATAGTAGTAGTGACAGTAGTAGTAGTAGTAGTAGCAGTAGTAGTAATAATAGTAGTAGTGACAGTAGTAGTAGTAGTAGTAGCAGTAGTAGTAATAATAGTAGTAGTGACAGTAGTAGTAGTAACAGAAGTAGTAGCAGTAGTAGTAGTAGTAGTAGTTGTGCAGTAGCAGTAGTAATAGTAGCAGCAGAAGTTGTACCATTGAAACTTCTACTGACAATCTAAAACTGATAATTTTGTTAAACTACGCTATAGGTTTGAATTTGATGAAATTAAACGTGATTGCTTGATGACGGCCATTAAAGAAGAATTGAGTGATTCACTGCTGTGATTGACAGAGTCAACTGCTCGTCATCTCTTCCTGGATTGTTGAAGTTCCTGGTTAATTTGTTGTTGTTTATCTGGTTGGAGGAGTCGAGAGCACAGCAAGAGATGCTGTAACAGCAGAAAATGTTCAGACAGCTAGTCTGACAGCCTGAAATACTGCCCAAAATACTGTACCCTGTCTGTAACCCATCCTCACTCCTGTAGCTACTGGTTGATCAGATCCTGATCCACCATGAGGCCTGGTCTCAGACCGGGCAGCGGGGGCGTTGACCCCGCGAAACCCTCTCCAGGTAAACTCCAGGTAAACCGTCCTCTGTGTCAGAAAAAGAGAGAGAGAGAGAGAGTACTAGTGACTGAATGTATATACGAATTCAAATCACGGCAGCGGGTTGAAAGTTAGAGTGGAATGTGGTAGCCAGGGTTCGACCCCAGGAACTGTCATACAGCAGGTAATGACATTTATTAAGCAACTGGACATGGTAAAAAAACTATAATCACTTCGAATCTTCGTGTGATCTTTAAATTTAAAAAACCCACATTTTAAACGCACAAAATCACCAAATCCCCGGGGAAAATTTAATTTGGGGGGTTTTGATCAGAAAATCAATAAATCACTTTTTTAACATTTACAATCAAGAATTTAAAGGGAAAAATTTTAAAACCCCATTAAGAAAAGGTTTTTTTAAAATACGTTAAGTATTTTTCCAAACCGGGCTCCCAAATTTGTTTGCATTTACTGGAAAGTTTGGAATAACGTAACCCGGGGGTTTAAGCGCAAAAACTACAAAGGGTCCCAAAACGTCTGCGGGGCAGAGCTGTGTGCACCACGGTACATTGAGAGCAACACAGAAAGGGTGCCCCGGGAGCCCAAAACTTTTCCAAATTTGCTCCCAGCATAAAAAGGGGGGGTTTTTACCAAAAACCCCCCTGGCTGCCCTTCAAGAAGGGCACGGCAGGAAACCTAAAGCATACCTGCCCAAGCCGGGCTGTGGTTGTACGCCATTTTGGGCGTGCTGCCAGCACGCAAACGGGCCGCGAATAGGGGGTGAAAAAAAGCTCTACACAGAGGGGAAACGAGACTTAAAAAAACAGTTTTAAAAAACAAAAATAAGACAATAAATTTCCCAAAGTGGGCAAAAATTTTTAACTTGGTGTGTGTGACAAAAAAGAAGGAGAGAGAAGGCAGGGGGGGGAAAGTCAAGGGAAGATTGGGGGTAAAAGAAAGGGAGGAAAATATAAACGTGCCCCGTTTTAAAAGGAAAAAGAAAAGAAGGAAGTAGACCAAAAGGGAAAGGTTTAAAAGGGAAAAGGGAAAAGAAAGGGGAGGGTAATTAGAGAGAGGGGGAAAAAGGGGGGGAAAAAAGGTATTGGGGGAAAAATAATAAAAAGGGCCACCTGGGGAAAAGGCAAACAAAACTTTGAAAATTTTTTCTTTTAAGAAAAATATTTATTGGTTGAAGTTAAGAGCTATATAGCCCAATAATTCATCCCTTCTTGTTTTTTTCGTCAAAAGCAAATGACAAACACTTATTGACTGGGAAAGAGAAAAAAAAACCCATTTCCCCTTTAAAAATTTTGATAAACTAAATTTTATGGCATTTTGGAAATTTTTTACTGGGTTTTTCGGGGGGAAAATAAATTTTTGACTGTTTAAAGGGCCCAAATCATCCATATAATTTCGTGGAAAATTAAAACTTTAAATTTGCCTTTCCCCACATTTAAATCATTATTACCTTTTGAGTTATTGGGCTATTCTTAATTCCCAAAAGTTTCTTTCAACTTGCCCCCGAGTGTGTTTTGAACCCTTTTACAAAAGTTAATACCCGTCGTTTCCGGGGAATTTTTTTCAGTAAAAACGAGTCGTCACACGGGGAATTTTTACACATTTAAAACGAGTCGAAAAAGGGCAAAATTTACACAGTAATTTCGAGTCTAAAACGGGCCAAAATTTACACAGTAATACGGGGTCGTAAAGGGCAATTATACCCCGTTTTTTCGACGTCACGGGGAAATTTTACAGAAATACGAGTCGTCACGGGGAATTTCACATAAAACGAGGCGTACCGGGCAATTAAAACAGTAAAACGAGCCCTACACGGGCAATTAATACACAGTAATACAGTCGTACACGGGCAATTAGATGCCTAATTAAGTCTAATATCTCGCCTTTCCTCAGATGTATAACAGTTATTATTGTAACCATAATTTTTAAATGAGTGGAGGGGGTAAGCCAGTAGAAGGCCTCGGTCAGATGACTAAAAGTTCCAGCTCTGGGTCATCATATAACTCAGGAAACACTTGTCCTGTTTCCTGACAAACATTACCTAACCTAATCTAGTAAATTATGTTGACAGAATGTAAATAGATCAGTTAATGACCTTAATAACTGAATGACTATTAACGTGTATTAAAAAAACCTGATATTCTTGCACTGTACGGACACCACACAGGTAACCCCCCTGGAAACTGGAGATGAGTCAGATGCACAGGACCAACCAGCAATGATTGATGAAACAGACTTGCTACAGGCACCATCAGAGAACACTAATGTAACCATGGTACCTGTTAAGGTGATAGGTGTTAAAGAAAGCACTAACCCAGAAGTGCCATCCTCCGGAGAGGCATTGGATTCGCCTGACCTTCCTCATATTATAACAAATTTCCAGAAAAAAATTGAGCATCTTGAACAGATCCTGACAAGTTTAATAAATATATGTAATCAGGATGATGCTCTTGAGCATGGTGATGATGTCAAAAGTGCAGCAATCTGTGAGAAAGAAGCCCATGACTCTTGCCTTCAAGACTTGCCTTGGAACTGGCTGCCAATATGCCGAAAAATGCTTAAAAATAAAGGTCCTGAAGATAAAGACGTACAAACTATGCTATTTGCTCATAAGTGTCTGCACACTGTAGTCAAAGCATAATAGTGTTTAAACCATCTAGAGCAAGAGATTGTAAAAATAAACCACTACAATGGATACATTACAAATTTTTTCTTGGAACATTGCTTTCCATCAGGAAGCGCGGTTGCCCTGACTTACATCATATTAGTGCAACCAAAATATGGATGTCATCGTTTCGCAGAATGTAGATTGAAAATGGAGCACCTCCACCAAACTTGCCTGGATATAGCAGCTTATAACCTAAGGTCAACCACTGTTGTGTGATGTATGTCAGAAAGACTTGCCACATTCACTCCATTTCCTTGCAGAGTCAGTTAACATGCAGTTATGGTCAAATTATACGCAGGCGAATTTTTTCCATAAACATTTTTAATCTCTATGCCCCAGCGAACCACTTCGAACCTGATGCTTACCAGATCGCATCAATATGAACACTACCACATTTCTTGCGAGTCTTTTAATAGCCAGCATAAGAATATTGTGGTCTATATCAAACACC